ATCCCATCCCATCCCATCCCATCCCATCCCATCCCATCCCATCCCATCCCACCTCCCCTGGCCTCACCGAAGATCCTCAGGCCCCAGGAAGCCCAGGTCACCGTAGTTGATGTGGAAGTTGAAATCATGGCTGTAGCGGTTAAAGGTGATGACTTTGCGTTGAGGGTAGGGACCCATGCGGGAGAAGAGTACACGTTTATTGTGCTTCAGGCTGCGGACCCCAGGTTCTTCCTCCACCTCCCTTGTGAATTCCACCTAAGCAGCAGGCAGGAAGAAAGCATACTGGAGAACCAGCATGGGGATGGGGCAGAAAGACAAAGGGACAGGCTGGGGTGGGCAGAAGACAAGATGCCGCTTAGAGGCTACAGGAGTTTAACTCTAGGTGGACAGGTTTACTCACCAGAATGGGATAGACCACCGCATCTCGGATGACAAATGGCTTCACCTTGAACGCTTTGCTGAGGGCAGCTGCCTGGTACACAGCCCCCATTGCAGCTGCTTCATCTGCATTGATGTTCTTCCCCAATTCCTCCCTACAGGAGTCCCAAACATCAGTCCCCTCCACCCAAAAGCACCCCACCCAGGGTCCCACCTGTTCAAGCCTTCCATCTGCCCATCACCAGGCAGACACAGGCCCTGTCCCCAGTGCCCACACTCACTTGCCCACAGCCTTCAGCAACACCTCCTGAACCTTGGGGACACGAGTGGCCCCACCCACCAGGATCACCTGTTCAATCTCATCCTGCAAAGGGGGAGGACAGGCGAAACAGTTGACATTCATGTCTTGCTACCGCACCTCCTGATGGGCATTGCTGCCACCCTGTGCCCTCACCAAGTTCATTTCTGCACTCTGGAGGGCCTGCTGGACAGGCCCAGGGACCCGCTCAAACAAGTCTGCACACAACTCCTCAAATTCTGCTCGAGTCACTTTTGCCTTGAAGTCTATATCGTCCATCAGGCCTTCGATCTGGGGGGTGATAAAAGTGAGTGTTGGGGGGCTTCTACCAAGGCCCCACTCTGTGGGTAAGTGAGGCAGAATCCAAGGGAACAAGACTGGGAAGATGGCACTCCCTTGGGAGAGGGGAGGTTGCCTCCAACCAGCCTTGTGTGGGTACCTGGGCCATGTGGTCAGCGTTGGCGCTCAGGACAGTTTTGAGCCGATTGGCCTCCCGCAGCAGCTTGGCCATGGCACGCGGGTTCTCCCGTACATCCTTGGCCCTCCCGCCCTTGCGCTGCTGCTCATTGAAGAGCCCAGCCAGGTGTTCCCGCAGCCGAAGCTCCATCTCTAGGCCCCCCAGGGTGCGGTCAAACCTGTTCAGGAAAAGGGATGGGACACTATGGAGAACAGGGTCTCTGCACTAGCAGAGGAGCCTCTCAGCCCCAAATGGTATCCTGCTCTTCATTCGAGATTCTATTCACCCCTACAGTGTGGACACACTCCATTCTCAAAGGGAATAGTTCATCCATCCACTCATTCAACAGTAATCTCTGAGCATCAGTAATAGATGCATTGTTTTTCAAAATGAGTAACAATTACTTGCAGGGAAAGCTGTGTTAAAAAAAAAA